GCAAATTGTTTGACAGATCTGATCTCAAAAAAAAAAAAGACAAAAAAGGGCTAGTGGAGTGGTTCAAGGTATAGGCCCTGAATTCAACCCCCAGTACCGCAAAGTCAGCCAAAGGTTTTGAAGAACTCTACAATTAAAATGATAAAAAACTGAAAGATTGAAGAAGACACTAGAAGCTGGAAAGACTCCCATGTTCTTGGATCAGAATATTATGAAAATGGTTACACTATCAAAAGTGATACAGATTCACAGCAATTCCCATCAAAATTCCAGTGACAGTCTTCATGGAATTAGGAAAAACAATCTCAAAATGCATATGGAAGGACAAACCATTCTGAATAGCAACAGAAATTCAGAGCAAAAAGAGTATGGCTGGAAGTATCACATCTGACTTGAAACTACATTAGAGAACCATAGTAAAAAAAAAAACAGCACAGTACTGGTGCAAAGAGAAACATGTAGACCAATGAAACAGAATAGAAGATCCAGAAATAAGTCCACATAGCTACAGTCATCTGATTCTCAACAAAGGTGCCAAAACCATACACTGGAAAAAAGCTTCTTTAATGAGTGGCACTGGCAAAACTGGATATCCATGTGTAGAAGACTGAAACTACATCTCCATGTCCACTCTGTACAAAAATCAACTCAAAATGGATCAAAGACCTTAATGTAAGACCTAAAACGTTGAAATGACTACAAGAAAATATAGGGAAAACACTTCAGTGACTTTCTGAATAGGACACCAATAGCTTAGGAAATGACAGCAAGCATTGACTGGCTGGCAGCATGGCTCAAGTGGTAGCACAGCTGCATAGAAAATACGAGTCCCCGTATCCAAGCTCCAGTACTGCACCAAAAAAAAAAAAAAAAAAAAGGAAAGAAAAAAAAGTTGGCAAGGTTTCACAAGCGAGACTGCATCAAACTAAAAAAGACTTCTGCACAGCAAAGGAAACAATTACTGGAGCAAAGAGACAGGTATGGAATAGAGACAATCTTTGCCAGCTGTTCATCCACCAGGGGATCAATACCCAGGATATACAAAGAACTCAAATATCAAGCACCACAATATCAATCCAATAAATTGTATGGGCAAATGAACCGAGCATACAATTTTCAAATGAAGTAATACAAATAGGCATTACAAATACATGAAAACATGTTTAACATCTTTAGCCATCCAGGAAATGCAAGTCAAAACTACACTGACTTCATTCTGACTTCAATCAGAATGGCTACCATTAAGCAAACAAAAACCAGCAAATGCTGGTAAGGATGTGAGGACAAAGGAAACCTTATACACAGCTTTGTGGAATGCAAATTAGTTCAGTCCCTAAGCAAATAAGTATGGAGGTTCTGCAAAAAAAAATTCAAAACAGGACTTCCATATGATCCAGCTATACCAAATCTGGGTATATACAAAGAGGGACCCAGGTCAGCATGCAATAGAGATGCCTACATTCACACATTTATCACTGTAGTACTGGAGACCCAAACTGAGGATGCATCCCCTGGACACCTGTGGTGGAAAGAAGGAATGAAACAGCTGGTAGAAATTTAAGACTGAAAACCAGAATACAAATATAAAACATGCTTACCTACAAAAGCAAGGCATATAAATCTCAGGCAACTTGTGTCCTCTAAGGTACCTGTGTATCAAGGCAGTAGAAATGGAGTGTTAAATCATGCAAAACTTGGAGCCTGCTGACTCCACCCTGAGCTCTGTCCAGCAGGAATGCCACCAAGTGGTGAATGAGCAACTCAGCTTTGGTGAGCATTAATAGATCCAATTTTTATCTGAATCAAAATGCAAGGTGTGGAAAATATGGAAGAAATAGTTTGGGTTGAAATAACACTATAAATGGCAGGCACAGTGAGTAGAAATAAAGAAAGAAAATAATGTCATTGATTGCCTCAGCTGAAGTAGAATGGTTTCATGGAAAACTTACAAACCAATTATCAGATGTTTGTCAATTAAAGGATGCTAAAGATGTCAAAAACATTATCAGGATAATACTAAAGATAAAGCTATATAATGCTTCTTAAATGCCAAACCCCCCACCCCCCCACACACCCATGGAGAAAGAACTATAATAAATCCCATCTACTACCTATGGTAAACACAGCCTAAATTATATGGAAGAGCTTGTACTCATTTATATCCTTACCCCAAAAATTTGATTATAGTAATAAAAGAACTTCAATAAAAACATGACTCCATAGTGAGGAACACAAATGTTTTAATCATTCTGGTTAATACTCACTTTGGATTAAATTAAAATTCAGGGAGAAAATGTCCTTTTTAAAACAGAATGCCAGCAAAAACAAGTATATGGAAAGAACTGAATTTTAGAACATTCAGGATATATATATATATATATATGAATGTTCAATTTTGGTATAAAACAAAAACCAAGATGTGGGCAAGGTGGAATGATGGACAGTAGTATTTTTAGAGGAAGATCATTGGAGACAAGAATATTTATACATTCTCAAAGTATTACTCTCCACATTGCTTAACAGTTTTAAGGAAAACAATAAGTCATTTTCATGAGCTCCCACAGTGGATGTCTCCTTCTCCAAGTGACAGTCCTAGATAGAGAAATGAGTGACAAACTGGTAGGTCTTCAAGTAGGATGCTACAGGAAGCATATGGCATTAGCTGTACATGGGATTTGCTAAAAGTTTAGGCTAAATTTAATGCTGAGAAAATTATGAGACAACTGAAGAATGTGGGCCATGTTGCCAGACACCTGACCTGTCCCCTGCAAACAGGTCAAGGTCACCACAGACTGACAACAAAAAAGAGAAGAGACATTTTTGATTCAAAAAGACTAAAAAAAATTTATCTTTTTATTCTTTTTCAACCGAAATGTCTCCTCTCCTTTGTTGTTGTATCATTTATGGTGACCCTGACAGAAGAAGATAGGTCAGTAGTCTCATTCATTGGTCTATATTCTTCATGTGTCTGATAATTTCCTGTGCTTAAATTCATTCTAAACATCTTTAGCAAAACCACTACAATGCTAATACTGCCTGCTTATAGCATTTGTGATCCTGAAATGGTCCAGTTTGGTCTGTTCTTTTCTTCCTGCTGTTCCTGCCCTTGCTTTTCTAGAGTGGGAACTTCAAGGGCTGGGATTAAGGTCACTCAATAGTGGTTATGGACCTTGGTCTTGGTCTTGGATAGTAATCACAATTAGAGGCTCAGAAACTGTTAATTTCTCCAATAAAACTGGCCTTTTGGAGTGTCAAGAGCCATTCATGGTTGTGAAATCCAATGATCATGAAGGATGTCTCCAGTGTTCTATTTGGCCATTCACTTGGTTTGTTGTTTTGTATTTCTTCAAGTGGAAAAGGCACTTTCTGTGATGCAGACTTATTTAAATGGTCAATATCTCTTCTTGTTCCAGCAACATTTAGTATCTGAGAGAGGGAGAGAGAAATCAAATGAGAGTCTTGGTCAGGTCCTGGGGATGGTTGATCCAGGAAGTACTGCCCATTGATAACAGAGGACAGAGACCACTTGAGCTCCTTTGTGAGAAGGAGCTGAATTGCTGGAACTCAGGCTGGCTAAAGTGGAAGGTGGCATCCACAACAATGTAGAGAAAACCCTCCTGAACTTTCAGTTCAGCTTGTGGTACAGGAATCAGGGTCCCTCCCTTGTACCATACAGAAGCTGGTGGTCTCAGCCACTTTCCTCCTATCCTTTTTATCCTGACCAAATCAAGCGCTTTTCATGCTTCTCAGTGCTCATTGTTCTTAGCACCCAGGATACACATTCAGAAACAGACTGCTGTGGGAGGGAGAAACAACTTTTATGACTCCAAAAAGGGAAGAGAGGGTGGGCAGTTGGCAGAGCCATAGGAAAGAGAGATAGCAGGCTTCAGACCACATCCAAGTCCAGTCCCACCTTTATTAAAGAGGAGACAGTGATGCCTGGGGGCTGACCTTTAACTGACTCTTTTCAAAGAGTTCATGAACACGTGAACTCTTAATAACACATGAACTCTGAAAACACTGGAGCAGACCCTCTTCATAAACATTTAGGAAGAGCAAGAAGGCACCCAATGGAGCAATAGACACAATGGATATTGGGTCACCTTGGCTAGACAGGGACAAAAAATTTAAAGAAAGCTCTGTACTATTTTTCCACAGCAGATTAGGAAAGACAAGAAAAAGGACTCACTAAAAATGGAAAGAATGAAGGGAGAGTAGTGAGTTCAACCAGAGCACAACTCTTTTCTCTAAATTCCTGAAGGCTATTCCACACCAGGACATACCACAAAGCATTTCTAGGAACAGTCTCAATAGCTAGACTCATAAATCTCCAAAACAAAAGGGACTGCACTGTGTTTTACTATACTCTCCTCTGTTTGTGCTTTTCTTTCTCAATACTACTCTTTCAGAAAAGATTCCTTTAAGTTTTTCATGGCTGTCAAGAATGGCATAGAAGCTGGGCACTGGTGTCTCATGCCCAGCTGCTTACGAGGCAAAGCACAGGAAGATCCTGGTTCTAATCCAGCATGGGCAAATACTTTAAAAAACCCTATTTCAAAAATACTCTACACAAAAAAGGGATGGCAGAGTGGCTCAAATGGTAGAGTGCCTGGATAGTAATTGCGAGGCCACAAATTCAGTATCACCAGAAAAAAAAAGAATGACAAAGAAGTGTAAGTATAAAAATATTTCTTGACATTCAGTTTTGATGTATTATTATATGTTCTTCAGGAAAAGGAGACTGAAAAGTTTTATGTGGGGATTTTCTCTGACCAAAAGTAAAATATAAAAATAGTGCTCTTAATCACATTAGAGGAGTGGGAAGTTAATAATATATAATGCAAACTGACAGATTTATGGTAAAAAATGAAAAAGAAAAAACTGAGTAACATTATGTGTAATTGGAGGAAATATTTTTTTGGACACTGAGTTTCAGTGTAGCTACTATTTCTTAGTTCATCTTGTTACCACTTTGTGCACATGTGCTTCAAGTATGGAGGCTACAGGCCCAATTCATTCATCACCATGTTTTTCTGTGGTATGCAGAGTTTTGTTGAGAGGGAGATACAAATTTCATCAGCAGCTAATGGATGCTCAGCTTTTTCTATGGAGTAAGCCACACAAGTGGGAAAATTCCATACTGACAACTTGAGATCATCAAGAATCAGTGTTCCTAATTTTCTAAATATGTTAGAATCACTTGGGACCTTCTTAAAATCACTGATGCCTGTATGTCATCCCAGACTATTCACATGAGACTCTCATGTGTGAGTTCAAGGCACTCATTACCTCAGGTGCTTGTATTAGGGCATCTTGATCTGGAGATACTGAACGACCACTGATCCCATAACTTTCATTTCATCTCCCCCATCTCTCTCATGACTGGCTCCTGACCTACTGGCTCTATGGATTTTACTCTTCATTCTGATAGTTTGAAGCAAATCACTCTTTTGTCAGTTGAAATGGATTGATGCAAAGCTCATCCAGTATTTTCAATCAATCATACTAGGTCATGATATACATGGGGTTGGACTCCATCTTCCAATAAGTTAGTTAAATAAAAGTTGTGAAGTACTGCAATTGGAATATCATTTTTGACCATTGTCCCTTTACAGTACCATTTAATATCCTCCAGGTAATTTAAGAACCCAAGCAGTAAAGACAATGTGTCCTGGAAAACCCATGAAAATGGGCACAGGGCTCTACACACTGGGCTGAAGATAACACTGATTCCAGGTTATTATGCGCCTCCCACCTAAAGCCCAGCTTGCAATTTAGTTTTTTTAATCAGAGCACCTTATTGTTAATTTTAACCATTTTCATGTGCATGCCCAATTTAAGAATTAGGGATTGATGTGGTCTTGTTCCCTGAAGCAGGCACAAGAGGAGAAACTGTACAAGTAATTTTAAAGAGCACGGACCCAGAAGAAAGAGGCAGTGGAATTGGGAAGCTGGGAAGACAGGTGAAAAGCCAAGAAAGTATGGGGTTATGGGAAACTATATGTACTAAAAACCTCAAATAATGCTCTCCATAACATGAAACATGGGTCGGGCTTACCTGTGACATTTAAAGTATGAGGATGACAGCACTGGGGAGGAGCAGCATTCAGAATGCAAACAGGAGATGTGGATGGAGGATCAGACAGGGTAGCAGTCCTCAGAAATCCAAGGTAAGGATAGATAGAGATTACATCACTTGTTGGACAGAACATACCTTAAAGAGAAAACACAGTAGGAGAATGAGCTCAAACCTACATAGAGAATCATAAGGATTAAGTGCATCCAAGAGCCACAGGGGTGACTACCTCTGTATGTTGATCCAGGGAATCTGCTCTCTATTCTGCGCTTGCTGAGCAATAGTATTCTTTTGATAACCTTCTGCTTCAGGACATTTGGGGCGTCAATGAAGCCATGGTGAATCCCACATGCGTGGTCAACTGAGTCTTCCGGAACATCACCTTCTATCTTGGGAGGTTGTTTCATTCCAAAGAAAGCATTCAAATTCAGCTCTGAAAACAAAACCATACCCATTGTTACCTATGTCCTTACTGGGGTTTACGAGGGACATAAGGAAAAGAAAGGCCGGGACAAGGAAGTCCAGGAGGGACACGAAGTCTGTAGACAACTTTGCTATTTCCATAACGCAGACAGCTTTCACATATCCAGTCAAGTTAAGATCGCAGAAGACAAACGTACTTGCAATTTATTAAAAATCAAGAAAAACAAGACCAGTGAAACGCAGTATCTCCCAAGAATATGAGACAAAACAAGGAAATGACACCGGATATGGGCTGTGCTTTTGGAATGGAAGAGAAGATTAAAATGAAGCAAAATCAAAGTCCACAGAAAACCCTATGACAGAAAAGAGAACTGTGGGAGAATAAACCTAAGGAATTATTATAACATGCAAAAATATTTGATATCTTTTCATTGCACAACAGGTATAAAATACCTACCACAAACATAATACATGGGTTCCAGATACAAGTTTCATTATTCATATCTGGTGAGAACATCATGTACATATGCTTAATTATCTGAGCATGAATTTTTACATTAGAAACAGGAGGAATAAAATATAATATCACAATTACTATTTCAGTCAGTTGAATCAGAAATGAAATAAAAATATGGAAAGGAAGATGCTGTGAAAAGGAGATGATCTGTTACACATGAAGAAAACTCATAGCATAGGTCAGTGACTGAAGATGTACAACAAACCTCCTCCCCAAATGTCACCTGAGCAGGCTTACTGCGCTACAACCAAAGGAAGGCTAGCAACAGATACTGTGACTGAGTCCAGGTGATGAGTATTGGCGGGGAATGCAAAAAGCAAAAGGAGGGGAAAACACAAGCCATATGGCTGACGGGAAGACAAGTAAAAAGCCAACAAAGAGAGAGGTTTGGGGAAATTAGTTGCATGTGCATAGCAGGCCAAGAAATGCTCTTCCTATAGTAATGATAACATGGGGTGCACTTACTTATGACACTTAAAATGTTGGGACACCAGCGCTGGGTGGGAACACAGTTCACAGTACAAACAGGAGATGGAGATGGACGACCAGACCAGGTGGCAGCCCATGGAAATCCAAGGTACGAACACGCAGAGATTACAGGAGCTGTTATACAAGACAAACCTTGAGGAGAAAACATAGTAGGGGATGAGCTCAATCCAACATGAAGGGTCACAAGCAGTAATAAGTGTATCTAAGAGCCAGAGGTGGGTTACCTCTTCGTCCCAGTTCAGGAAATCTGCATCCTATTTGGCACCTGCTGAACAGTTGTTTTGTCTTCAAGATCTTCCGTTTCAGGTCGTTTGTGGCATTAATGAGGCCATGTTGAAACCCCGGTGTGTGGTCAACTGGTCCTTCAGGAGCACTACCCTCCAGCTTCACTTCAAAGCAGGCGTCCGAATTCAGTTCTGAAAATGCAATCACAGACATTGTTCCCTATGCCATCACAGACATTGTTCCCTATGCCCTGATTGGGACAAAAGAGCATCATCAAGGAAAACAGAGTCCAAGGCTGGGAGAGGCTGGCCAGGAGGCAAAGGTACTTCCAATTTATTAACATATTCAAGAGAAACTGGACTAGGAAAACCCAGTATCTCCCAAGAATATATGGCAAGACAAGGAAATGACACTGGGCATGGGCTATACTATTGGAGAGGAAGAGATTTTAACACCAAGCAAAATTAAAGATCAAGGAAAACCCCAGGATACAAACTAACTTGGGGACATTAATCCTGAGAAACTTACAAAACTTGCTTAAGTATCTGATATACTTCCTGTATGCATTCTGTTTAGAAAACACACCTGCCACAAACACATAATGTATATGCTCCAGATATAGATCCATTCATTATTCACATTTCTGAGGATAGAATTGTACAAGCACTTAATTATCTGATTTCACCACTTCTTCCACTGGAAAATACAGGGATCTTATACGAGATTATAATTCTATTTCACAGAGATAAAATTAGATATTGTTGAGAAATATGAGAAGAAAGTGGATAAAAAGAGCTTGTGAAAAGCAGATGGCCCTATAAGACATCAGGAAATGATAGTGTGGAGCAACAGACCAAGGATTAACACTCTCCCTGCTCCCCTAACATCCTCTGAGCTGGCTTACTGCTCTGGCATCTGTGGAATGTGAGCAGGAGACAGAGTAAATGAGTCCCATTGCTGAGTATTGTCTGGGCTTGGGGGAAGCCAGTGGCAAGGAAACGGCATGCCAGATGGATGGCAAGATGGTTAAATGCTCCAAGTTATTCACATGGGTCAGGTACTGCATGTCCCCAAAGACTCAGTAGTACTTTCCATAGGAACACTCCAAGTGGGTGACTGGGGCCCCTAATCCCACATGACCTTCCACCTCCTGACATCACCATCAGGAAGCATCCCCAGCTCAAGGTGTCATCATTTGGAATGATACTGAGGGTGAGCAAGACCCAGATAAAGTGGGCGTGAAGGACTGAAACCTCAGTCTTAAGAACATCTGGAGCAAGCCAGGGGTGGCGGACCAAGCCTGTAATCCACGCTACGTGGGAGGAAGAGATGGAGTGGACAGAAGGAAGAGATGGAGAGGACAGAGTTTGGTAGTGAGGCATCTTTTAAGACACTAGGTAAGCAGGGCTTTGTGGCATGCACCTGCCATTGCAGGCTTTTGGAGTGGTAGAGGCCCTAACATATGGGAGGCCTGGAGTTCAAATGCCAGCAATAACAAAAAGAGAGAGATGGAAACTCTTTGTTAAAGAAATTGTCAACAGAGACCGATTCAAGATGGTGACTAGAGTGCAGAAGAAGACAACATGAGCTCTGTAAATCAAAAATCTTGCTGAGACACTGGAGCCGCACTTGGCAGAAATAAAGCATCAAGAAGAATCAGAAGTTTGACACCCTGAACCTCAATCCCATACAAAGCTTCTCTTCACCATATTACACTGAGAATACAGGAGAGCTGCTGTGCTGCCAGACACCAGCTCCAAACCTGCTTGGGAGACATCAGCAGACCAAAGGTAAGCACCAGGCATCATGCGGTATTCCCATAGCCACCCCTAGGATACAACCAGTATAGCCTCCTGGACAGACTGACTCCCTGCCCCGCAAAAGAAATAAAACTGAGTAACAAACAAGGAACATGCAGCAGAGGGGCAGGGTACTGTAAGTGCATTAGAGATAGGGGGAGAGGCGAGGAGCTGATCTCCACTCAAACTTTCAGTAAACAAAGGCAGGAAAGGCACAAGGGCGACAGCAGGCAGGTGATAAGCTGCTATCGGAGACAGGGCAGCTATCAGTTCACAAAGCTCATCTCCTGAGCTTGTGAGCAACATCCAAATTCAAATGACACTGCCAAATTGAAAAACAATCAGCAAACCATCATAACATGCTGACAGCAGGGAGCCGGCTGACGGATCTCTGACCTTGCCCCAGAGAAAGGGAGCAAGGCAAAGGAACAAGCCCCCAGTAAACCAACATGGTGAAAACTCAACCTCAAAGCAGATGGCTGGTGGGCTACAGAGCTGTTCTCTGAAACCAAAGGACAATATACAAACTCAAACTGCCACACCTCACTGAGGGAGGAGCTGACTAATGAGCTGCTGCTGAAAGACAGAAAAAAAAAAAACAAACAAACTGGTGAGACTCCCCAACCACTTGGCGAGACTAAGATAGAGCCTGTCTTAAATATCAACACCAGGACTGGATGCTGAAGGAGTAATACCAGAACTACTAAGACAGAAATAGCATACATATACTAATTTAAAGCCAAACACATCCACAAAACAAAATTAAACTAAGGGAAAGAAAACAGGTGACTGAAACCATCAATAGTCTATCAAGAACATAGTTACACAGTACCATGTGGAGCGATGGGAAGACAAAACAGGGCTGGATACCATTCTCACTTTAAAAATAATTTAATACAGAGGGAAATGAAGAAAATTGATACCCAATTCCAGACTCCAACAAAACAAAGATAAGCTACACCAAGGAACCCAACAGATCCCACAAGAACACCTGAAGGAAGAAATCCTGCAAGTAATCACTGAGAATTTAATGGATATGTTACTGCACATGGTCACGCACAATGTACAAGAGGTAGTCAAGAAATTCCAAGACACCAAAAATAAAGAATATGAGAAGACACAGAAACAAATAAATGAACTCATAGGAGCCCTAAATAAACACCAAACTGAAGCAGAGAACACTACAAACAGAGAGATAAGTGAATTAAAGAAGAAAATTGACAATATTACAGAGGAGTGACTAGTAATATGGAAAACCTCAGAAAAAAGGATGAAACAGAAATACAAAATGATATGGAAGGTCAGTTCAGCAGACTAGAACAAGCAGAATATAGAATCTCAGAACTTGAAGATGAAATGAAAATTAAAGGAAAAACTGAAGAGCTATCAGTCAAACCACTCAAGACCTGTGTAAGGAATATGCAAGAACTCACCAACTCCAAACCTGAGAATCATGGGCACTGAAGAAGAAGAGGTGCAAGCAAAAGGAATTTGTAATATATTCAACAAAATAAAAACAGAAAATTTCCCAAAGCTAGAGAATGCTATGCCCATTCAGGTACAGGAAGCCTCAGGGCACCAAACAGACTTGACCAAACTAGAACTACCCCACAACATATTACCATTAAAACAAAAAGCACAGAGAATAAAGAACATTAAAGGCTATAAGAGAGAAAAAACAAATAATGTACAAAGGTAAACTCATCAAAATCACACCAGATTTCTCAATGGAAACCTTAAAACAAGGACATGGAGTGAGGTATTCCGGGCACTGAATGAAAATAACCTCAACCCTAGGATACACTACCCAGCAAAACTATCATTCAAAATAGATGATGCAATAAAAGTCTTCCATGATAAGCAGAAATTCAAACAATATATGACCACCAAGCCACCACTACAAAAGATTCTTCAAGGAATTCTGCACACATAAGATGAAACCAATCAAAACCATGAGAGGACAAAAAGTACCATACCACAGGAGAAGAAAAGACAAGGAATCAGAGAGTAACACTGATGCAGCTGCACACAAACCCTTAAACAACAAAAACAACTAAATGACAGGAATCACCACATACCTATCAATACTAACACTGAATGTTAACGGACTTAACTCCCTCATCAAAAGATATCATTTGGCAAATTCAATTAAAAAGGAAGATCCAACACTCTGTTATTTACAGGAGACCCATCTCAACGAAAGAAACACTGGCTTAGGGTGAAAAGCTGGAAGAAAAAGATTTACCAAGCCAATGGCCCCTGAAAACAGGCAGGCGAAGCAATACTTATATCAGACAAAGTAGACTTCCATACTAACAAAAGGTGAAATACACCAAAAGGAAATAACAATTAACCTATATGCACACAATGTCAGTGCACACAATGTCATCAAACATACCCTGAAGGACATAATAGCATATATAGACTCCAACACAGTGGTTATGGTAGTGGGAGACTTTAATACTCCCAACCACCAATAAATAGGTCATCAAAAAAAATCCATAAAGAAATTCTAGAACTAAATCACAACACAAATCAAATGGACCTAGTTGATGTCTACAGAATATTTCATCCAGCTTCTGCACAATGTGCATTCTTCTCAACAGCCCATAGAACCTTCTCCAAAATTGATCATATATTAGGGCACAAAGAAAGCCTCAGCAAATGTAAGAAAACAGAAATAATCCCAGGCATTCTATCTGATCACATTGCATTAAAACTAGAAATCAACAACAAAAACAACAGCAGAAAATATGCAAACAACTGGAAGCTGAACAACACATTGCTCAATTATCAGTGAGTCATTGATGAAATAAAAGAGGAAATTAAAAAGCTTCTGGAAGTTAATGAAAATGAAAACACAACTTACCAGAACACACAGGACATATAAAAAGCAGTCTTAAGAGGAAAGTTTATAGCCATGAGTGCATATATTTAAAGGACAGAAAGATCTCAAATCAATGACCTAATGCTAAATCTCAAACTCATAGGAAAACAAGAACAAGCAAAACTGAAAACAAGCAGAAGGAGAGAAATAATAAAAATAAGGGCCAAAATTAATGAAATAGAAACAAACAAAAAAACATACAAAGAATCAATTAAACAAAAAACTGGTTCTTTGAAAAAATAAACAAGATTGACAGATCCCTGGCAAATCAGACTAAAATGAGGAGACAGAAAACCCAAATAGGGTGCAAAAAGGGTGGTAACAACAAACACCACAGAAATCCAAGAAATCATCAGAGACTACTTTAGGAACTTGTATTTCAATAAATTTGAAAATCTTGAAGAAATAGACAGATTACTAGGTATTTATGACCATCCACAATTGAACCAAGAGGATATTAAATCCCTGAATACATCTATAACACAAAATGAAATTGACGCAGCAA